AAGGAGAGAATGCACTCCTAAAACTTATTCTCTGACCTCCACATAAGTGCCCTCATGTGCACACCCATCCACATACATACCCTCCCATACATAAACAAACACAATACTCTTTAATACAGATATTCCTGCCCATGGTGATGCTCAGAGGACTTAGTAAAGAAAATTACTTACTCGTAGACGTCAGGTTAATAATGATTTAAGACAAACAAGCACCTTTTCGTCTCAGTATGATCTAGTCTCAGAGCTGACAAACCAAGCCTGAGGAGGTTAGGAAATGCACAGTAAAACGAAGTCAGCAATGTTAATGCTGGGTGTGCCCACTGGATTTTTAAGGAAAAAATATCACAATTCCATTCCTTAGCCAGAAAACCTTGTTCTATTTATCCAGCATCTCCCTCCTCTAGGAACACAACCCTGTATTCATTTGCCTGCAAAGGTCTACTTAGGTCAAAGGAAAGCAAGAAAACAAGTCCCCAGCAGTTTGCATAGCCATTTCTCAGAACATCTAGACAATTTCTCAAACAAAAGGCAGAGTAGTTGCTACAGGATGGAAGCCATAGGAAGCCAGGCCTCCATTTACTTTTTCTGTCTTTCAAGAAGGGCAGGAAGTCTGGGAGGAGCTTCTGCCTTTAAGGTTAAATGTGGTGATTAGGTAGATTCCCCCTCATCCCTCCTCCACTTCCTCCCTCACTCCTGAGGTGAGGATTGGGGTAGTGACATGTCCTTAAGCATTTGGTGAAACTAGGTACTCCAGAAGTAGTAATATTCAATGCAGACCACGCCACACTTTACCACACATACAATGCTTGCTCACTCTCCTGCCTCAGCACTAGCTTCCTTCAGGCAGGACCCTTGCCTATAGGGAGACAACCAGTAAGCCCTCCATTAAGCACTTTTGGTGAGTTACAAAGCTGGCATCCATCAATCCACTTCTCAAAAACCAAGTGTCAGATACCCTGACTTCCTTTGTCTTTTGTATCGATTTGTTTTTGATCCCAGGGGGAGAGGAAAAGGCTGCTGGTATATCTGGGTTCAAATGGTTTTACACATTCTTGTGAGAATATGGCCCATTCACACCAGCTTCCATCAAAGGCCCTTTAAATCCACACCTCACACCCTTTTCTCTCACAGTGGGAGACAGGCCAAGCTGAATACAGGAATACCATTGATGTCCTAATGATTGGAAGGAAAGGCCACTGTCTACAAAAAGATTTTCTCCTTGTTATCTAGTACTTCCTTTGCTTTAAAAACAAACCAACCAATCAAACAAACAAATATTATTTTACTCATGAGAAACACAACAACAATACAAAACAAAGAAAACAAAACCATGAAAACACAGCTAAGGTAGAGAATTATCACAAGGCCTCTGGTACTAAATGCTAACAACCATTAAGATCCATTAATTCTATGTATTCCTTATAGAGTAAGCCATCATTGCCTATACAGGTCTTTAAGGAATCTAATTTAATGGAATGATGGAACCAAATGCAATTAGAATATAATTGTGCATATGCAAATATGCTTAGGGGAGCTTTGATAGAGCCGATCTGGCCTACATTATTAACTGTCACCATTATTAAGAAAGGCTTTGTTAAGCAAAGACAAACTACCTAATGATTTGGAATCAGCGAACTTCAAAGTGTGGGGCAGGACATGGAGGTGGCCCTTTGCACATGTGGAAAGTTCTCTACTGAGCAGAAACACTTTCTGGCTCTCATGATAGGAGGTATCCTTATTGAAAGATTTATTTTTAATTTTAAACAGCTTCCCAGCATCCACCTCCATGAAAAGTAAAATAAAAGGATGGAATTTTGTCCTATTAAGCAAACCTCCCTGCAGGATCGGTCAACAAGACAGGGAAAGACTCACTCCATTGCTCCATAGGAATTACCGGTCTACTTTTCTGCTAGACCTAAAATAATTACAACAACATTTTTCATAAAAGTTTTGACTCCTTCCTCTATTCCTAATAAAGTTCTTGCACATGTTATTCGTGGGGAAGATTTTCAACATGGCTTTCGTTTGCTCTTTGGACCTTTTGGCATAGTATGTGCTGACATAATCTTTTGGCTTGAGTCCTTAAGTATATGAAGAACCATGGAAGTCTCTTCCTAAAACCTGTGGATGTTAATCTCCCAAGGGCTGCCCTCTGCCAGAGAATGATTTCAGACTTGACCCTGCATAGATGTGGTCTCAAAAGGGGCAGTCTGAATTTTAAACTGGTTAAGAACACAATGTTCTTATTTGTATCGGGATAATTGAAAAGGTGTAATAAAAGAGAGAGGACTGAGCTCAGTGGAAGAACAGTTGTCTCAGAGCTGTGGATGGAATAAGGATGGAGAAGGACTGGATTTAAAAATATTGACTGGCCATAACCAGATTCTTCTACATACAAACACAGCTCTGCACATGTTGGCTGCTTCTTATACTGACATAATGACACCAATTATGGTCCAAGGAGCTGTGATATGTCTATTGCTTTAAACACACACACACACAAAGAGAGAGAGAGAGAGAGAGAGAGAGAGAGAGAGAGAGAGAGAGAGAGAGAGAGAGAGGAGAGAGAGAGAGAGAGAGAGAGAGAGAGAGAGAGAGAGAGAGGGAAATACTAACAATACAACAAAGAAACTTTTCTGGTATTCACAAATTCTTACTTTCATACAACTAAAAACTCTGACATCATTGTAGTCTTTTTAAAAATGAGACACCCTCAAACAGTGCGGACTATCTAAAAGTACAAAATTAAAAGGCAAGGGCTCAGGGGCCAGGGCCAAATCTGTTAGTACAGTGCATGCCTAGAAAGATTAGCAAAGATTGGCCGCAGATTCTTATAACAGGGAGGTGAAGATGGGTGGATCTTTTGTGATAACTGGACAATCAGCATAACTTATTTAATGAGACACCTTACAATAATAATAATAGTAATAATAATGATGATGATAATAAATCATATATCAGACTAACAAGATTGTACCTGAGGGGTCTATCAGTGTTGACTTCTGCTTGCCACACTACATGTATACACAAATGAATGTACCAGGCACACACATCTCAACACACGTGAGTATATATATATATAATAAAAGCTTGCCCAGCTTACATACTTATGGTTCATAACTACAATAGACTGTCCACACTTAAACAGTTGATTTTTCCAGTCGCTCCTGTTGAAAGTCTCAATTTGTTTCTGTAATGTATTCTAGGAAATTCAGAGTAAAACGGCAAAAAGAAATAATGGCTTTGGATTAAGTCTTTGGCACACTTTTCTTCTGGATCAATTAATATGGATATTTTATTTAACTATCGAAATCACCTCCTGAAACACTTAAAAGAAAAATGATGCTGGGCAGCGGTGGCACAAGCCTTTAATCCCAGCACTTGGGAGGCAGAGGCAGGCGGATTTCTGAGTTCGAGACCAGCCTGGTCTACAGAGTGAGTTCCAGGACAGCCAGGGCTACACAGAGAAACCCTGTCTTGAAAAACCAAAAAAAAAAAAAAAAAAGAAAGAAAGAAAAGAAAAATGAAAGATGAGGCAGAAGGGTTGGGGGCTGCTTATAATCTTCTTCTGGTCATGCTTGCTATCATAAGACTCTCATAATAAGCCATTTCCTCCTCCCCCTCCTCCTGAAATCTTCAAAAATAACAGGGAACCTGGCCAGTGAGATAGCTCAGGAGGTAAAAAACAGCCTGCTGGGAAATCCTGACCTGCATCCAACCCTTGGATTCCAGAGTGGAGGGAGAGCCTCCATTCCTGAAGGGTTCTCTGATCTCCACAAGTGAACCCAGACTCCCCCGAACTTCTCAATGTTCAAGAAAGATTGTGACAGATGATTGATAATTAACTCAGCCCAAACAATTCAAGAACAACAAAGTTTTCTAGTTATGTTTGTTTGAAGTATGCTATACAAGAAATGGATGGGCTACCACCTCTTGTGCAGCTCAGGTCAGTCAAGTTCAACTAGGCAAATGTCTACACAATTATCATGCATCTTCTTTGAGAAAGTAGGATGGAATTTGAGAAAGGTATGATCATAGCCCAAGCTCCTCATCCTTCTCCTCCGTCTCCTAAGTACTGGGTTTATGGGTGTGTCTATCACACAGGATGAGAAAGCCTCTTAAGGCAAATTTTGTTAAGTACAGAAGTAAGATTTACACAGTCAGTTCTGATATAGAACCATGTATATATTATTTATAGTCTTTCACATTTAAGAACAAGATCCAAACTATACCTGCTAATGCTTCTGTTGGATAATTCAAGAGATGCCAGGGTAACACCCTGCATTAGTAAAATCAATGTTATATATAATCTTATGTAATCTATAAATGCTGTGATGTCCATCTATGGATTTAGGGATTACGTAGCAAACATTGGGGGTGGAGAGATGGTTCAGTGGTTAAGAGTGTTTGCTGGGCAATCATGAGGACCAGAGTTTAGATCCCAGTAATGACATAACAAGCCAGACACTCAGCATACACCTTTAGTATCCCCAGAATGAAGCAGAGACAAAGGGATTACTGTGGTTTGCTGGCTTCCAGCCTGTTCTAGAAATCACAAACCCCAGGTTTAGATAGAGACCTGGGGAAATACAGAGGAAATACAGGAGAGGTGGACACTGGCCTCTTTCAGCCTCTTAGAGCTTTGATGCTCATGGGCTCTCGTACCTGCATATGCACGTGCACCTAAACTACCCTTCGATAATAGTTCTCCAAAGACAAAAGAGGCAAGTCAAATAAGTGTGCCCAAGGGACTCAGTTTACTATCATTTCCTCATCTTTCAATCACACTGTCTGATTCACTCTATAGTCTGCTACAAGAATAGCATGTAGCTACTGTAGCTACTGCTTTGTGGTAAACTAGTGCCTGTCCTCTTTGAAACCTTTAATATTCTAATGCAGCCTTTAGATTTATCATAGGTTCTACAATTCATGATTATCAGCAACTATGACTTTCTCCATAAACACTCAGAGTTATACAGTAAATAGGAATTGATTCCTACCTGCTTGGTTGGTTGTCACTGTGACAGACACTGACTGGTCCGGGCTAGGGTTATACTTAGATACTCCATTCACTGCCCAGATCTCAAACGTGTAATTGGTGTGTGCTAGGAGGTCAGTGATGGAGACCCTGGTTGTCTTGAGCCCGTTCTGCTGTGGCGTGTAGTGGACTCCACTTCCACAGGGCCGACACTTGCTGGGATCGCCAGCTCCACATTTCTTGCAGACCACATTGTAAGAGATGTCCTGACGGCCACCTGTGTTCTGAGGACTGCTCCACTCCAAGTTCACCGACGTCTCATTGACATTAGAAATCAGGTTGAGGGGAGCAGATGGTGGGCCTGGGGAGAGAAACAACAGACCATCACACCAAGTACTGAGAGCCTTTTGAACCCCTTTAGAGTTTGTATTATCTTCTCTACAGCTCTAGGAGAGAAGGAAGGCCCATTTGGCAAAGCAAGCAAAAGGCAAAGAAAGCTAACAAAAGGGATCTTTTAAAAGGACGACAGTATGATAGAAGTTGGGTGTGTCTGTGTCATGCTACTTCCAGTGCAAATAAACATGCCACTTAGAGACACGAAACCACTCTACAGCAAGCGGGTTCAAAGCCCGGGCCTGCTTTCAGTTGGCAGTAAAGCAGCATACGTTATCTGGTCTCCATCTTACCTTCTGAGAGTTGGCTCTACAAATGGATTCCAGTTCCTAGGGCTGTGGGAGACTGGAAAATTAATACTTAGAGACTGTTTTTGAAGACATGTTCTGATTGCTCAGTAGAGCCCATTACCAATAGCAAATTAAATGATTAGAGATATAGATATAGGTCTGCGGCCCCATATGCAGGTAAGCGTTAAACCACTGCTGGATAATTAAGAGGAACTGGTTTAACATGATTTCAAAGATGTCAACGAGATATTCAGCTACTGAGATCTCAGAGCTAGGCCAGGGCTGTCCTTGACTACCAGATACCTCCTCTCACTCTGATAGATTAGAGCCGCTCCAGGCTATCTAAAAGCACATTCATCCCCACTGACTTCAAAAGGTTTCTGATATGTGAACATTGATGACAACTATCATGACAGACAATTGGTTACCCAAAGCACCACAGGTAGTTGGAAAACAATAAAAATGAACACTGTGGACCCTTTAGTCAAGAGATTAAGTCCTAACTGCTGTCAAGTTAGGGACTGGGATTGAAGGAGGAAGGAAGGGCTTCCTTGGTCTAATTCATTTTCAAAAGTTTAAAACATTCCTTTTATCTAAAAATAAATAAATTAAACAAAAAACAAACAAAGTGGAGAGCCAATCTAAGTTTTCATAAAACTTTAAGATATTTTGGAGACAGATCCATTCTTTCTACACACAGCACATACATACCTATAATCACACATGTGTAAAGGTGTGTATATACATGTGTATATACATACACACACACCACATGTATGTCTGTGGTGTGTGTGTATACATATTTATGTATGTATGTGTATACACACACACACACACACATTTTTAGGATGACTGCTATGAAGCTAATCTCCTTCACTTGGAGAAGGGACTCTAACTTGGGGGCCTATGTGAAACTGATGCTTTTCTCTCTTAGCCACAATGGAACACTGAATCTGGTCCAAAGCAATAACAGAGAAGAGGTGAAGCAGTAGCCTGTGGACATACAGTCACATTCTACAATTATTACTTGGCTTGCAGTGATAAATGGGGCCAATGATTTGGTAGAAACCTTCTGTGTGGGAAATCTCCCCTTCTTCTCTCTCAAACAGCTTAATTAAAGACCTTATTTAAAAAAGGTAAGCAGCTTCTCCCTGACTCCCCTAGAGACTAATTATCTACAACCTTCTTAGCTGTAAGATCCATCCCCCAACCTTCAACTCTTAGGGAAAAAAAAAAGAAAGAAACTAAGAGAACTATTGAAGAATTTGTGTTAACCCTGAGCCTACTTCATAAAACCCTCAGAAACAAAATACAAATGTTCTTTTATTTAGATTTTAAGACTAAATGTATGGTCTTGAACATAGCAGCTAGAATAGAGTAAGAATGAATAATGACTTCAGGATGTATAAATGGAGTTACTTACTGAAAATGTCAGACTCTCCGAGCTGAATATGGTGTTAAGTATTAAATGTTAAAGATGAAGGAACTAGAGGCATGAAGTAGACGTATTATAGTAAGTAGGGAAAGTTTACACACTATAACTCATGAGATAATTTTACTGATGTCCCAAAGAACTGTGTCCTCATCTGCTCTATGAGGCAGAAGTGTTACTTTAAGTCGGGGTACAGTCGGGGTGCCCATTTTCTACTCTTCAAATTCTGTGACCTGTGGTGACCACCACCATGCAAGTTTGTTTTACAAAAATGGGTCAGCCACTGGTTCTCACTTTGCTGAGACTTGCAGGGATAAACAAGAGTGACTCTAAAACCCATTAACCCCCTTGCCAAGGCCTCCCGGTCCACTCTCACACGGGAAAATGTGACACAATGAACCGAGCAACTGCAGAGGCAAAAAGTCAGTAATTAGTATGTAGGACGGGGCTTGGCGGTGTCTAAACAGAGAAGAAATGGAGCAGAAAACTAAATGGTCACAGGATGTGTATGGAGATGTAACACTGCAATGGGGAAAGCAGCACAAAGATGCAGGAGGATTTCGGAAGTGGGGGTTGACATGAAAACAAGCGATGGTTTCCAACAGCCTTCTTGGTTCTTACAGAAGGCCTGGAGGTAAATGTTTAAAGAAAGGGTAAGAACAAAGTTCAAGTTCAATGTTGCCTCCAGGGCTGGTTTAGAGAACAGCATTCTTGTGTGTTGTACTTTGCTGTCTTAGATGATGGTAAGGACATAGGAGCATCAGTGCACAAATTGGACAATTACAGTTGTGTGATGAAGGGGGAAAAGAAACATTGAAATCCCTGCCCTGTACGATTACCACACTGGCCTACACAAAGACCTGGAAAAACATGCATGCCTTACAAGCTAAAATCATAATGGTGGCTGTGTTTCATCTGTGGGATTGAGGTTTCTTTTTTCCAACTCCTGCCAATTAAAGGACGACAAGCACAGAATGACTTAGTTCCTTATTTTTATTAAGAGCCACTGCTTCCTCAGAAAAGGGAAAAAAGAGAGAAAGAGAGAGAGAGAGAACGAATTCTTTTCTCAAGGGGAAAAAATGGACTTGAAGACAGCCAAAGCCAATCTAGGTCTCAGCTAACAGCTGACATCGCTGCGGCAATCTCAGCCAATAAACAGAAAACATACAGAAGAAAAGCTCTCATAATGATTTCTCTTCCATTTAATTTTTGTATCTGAGGCTCTAGTAGTCATCAAGTCTCTGACAGCAATGGCCTTCCTGGTCAGAGATGGCCTACCTGTAAGTTTCCAGTTCTAAGTGCAGCAGGGCTCTCTGCACATGCTCTACTTCCAGGGATCTAACCACCTAGCTGAAAGCATTCAAAAAAGACTATGTTCTCCAGACCTCTGTGAGTTCGAGGCCAGCCTGGTCTACAGAGCGAGTGTTAGGACAGCCAAGGCTACACAGAGAAGCCCTGTCCAAAAAAAAAAAAAAAGTGTTCTCATCATGAACATAAACAGCCAACTGGTTTTAATACAGTATTTGTCAAGTCAGAACTACTTAGATAGCATTATATCATTAGTTATAAGTGTTCCAAAGAATATTTAACATATATGGGATAATGGCATTGTTCATACTACATTAGACATGGGTGAAGGCCATCCTTGGGTTTTAGGATCCCTGAAGGACCTAAGGCCAATCCCAAATGCATAGCGAGATAAGACTATATAATTTTTATATCAGTAAAAGCTACTGCAAAATGCAATCATATTTTCCAATCTTTCTGTCCATACCACTCTTTCTGAACACACACTGACACCAGGTTGCTAAAGAGTCACTGTGAGGAACAAAGTGGCTTCTTCGATTAATGCTAGCCTGAATACAAGGCTGGCAGCAAGTAGGGTGCTACTCCCACTGCTGTTCCTTGTTTCTGTGGCCCAACTCACTTAGGATGGTTCCTTCCTAAACAGACATCCTCTCCACATCTGTCCCCATCTATCACCTGTGTCTAAGTCATCCTCAAGGGAACTGATGCACTCGTTATTTCCCACTGTCTACCACTATTTCAAAATATCTAGTTCAGAGAAAGCACAATAAATGTTTGAAGAGCTAGTAGATGGATGGATAGCAAGCAAACAAGGTGCTTGAGTATACCTTGTGTTTCGTGGATGAACACAGGCTTCCTTGAGTTAAGGCTGAACCACTCAGCATCTCCCATAAGGTTCATGAGCACTAAGCTATGAAGGATTGTCTTTGAATAACTCATTCCCATAGACTAATCAGCCTGGATAAGGTAGGAAAGGCTGTGTGCCCTGTATCAATGGCTACTAATGCTGGAGGAGCTGTAGAGTAAGTACTTGAATATCCAACAAATATTCATCACATGCCTCATTTCCTCACCTGCCGGAGGGGAGCAAGGAAAAACAAACAAACAAACAAACAAACCCACCTCAATTGATTCTAATGCATTTGTGATAGATTCCTGGATAGAAAGAGGATTGTAGAGGAAACAGACGCTAAGGACATCTAAATACAAAGTATATGTGTGCATTGGATTTATAGGCAAGCACACACTCTGCCCTGACCTGTTCTTATACACTATGTGACTAGGCACTGCACTTGGGAGTTTAAAAGAGGGCCTTGTCAATTAAAGCTTTGTCAAGTCAGAACTGAATGGCTCCAATTTCTCTTCTACTTTCTTCTCGGGTGGTGATTTACCATAAAACAGGCCAAAATCTCTCTGGAAGAAATGGATTCTAACATTTCCAAAGGAAGCCTCGAATTTGCCTTTAATAGAATTTTAAGAGCTCCCCTCCCTCATTTAATTTTATTTTTAATCACCAAATTAAGTCGTTTTTTACATATGAAATGATCAAATGCAGAAGGCTCATAAGGGAAGACACTCCTCAGTTTCATTTTGAATCGCACTAGTAAATCTCCGAGTGGTATTCACACATCAGCTCAACCTTCTCTGTCTCTGCACCCCAGCCTTCACAAGAATGGGGCTGGCAGGGGACACGCTCTTAAAGTTTTCGAATATTGAATGTCTTCCTTGTTTTTAATATAATTTAGTGGCACAGATAATAACTATACTACCAGAAACAAAAGGCAAATGTAATAACCTTTAATTTAAGAATAGAGCGGGGTCAGCATTCTTCCTTTGTAAGAACATTTTATTGCATAGCCACGTTGTAAATATTTTATTCTTTATGGGCCATATGCTCTTGGCAACAAGCATTCAGCAGCCACAGCAAGTATCTCCACC